TAAAACCTTATATACAATCAATTGTTAAGCTAGCATCTGCAAAGGTTGCTTCTTTTTATTGTGATTGCAAATATTTTACTCTAGATTCCATTCTCTAACCTCTACAAATCTCTTTACGCAAATGTATGAAAAGGTCAGGGCGATAATATCCGTTTTTGCCATGTATAATAACATCCGTAAAACAACATCCGAAATTTCATCGATGTATAATAACATCCGTGCAACTACATCTGTAGATTTTTTGGATGTAACTACAGCCGAATTTTTTTTTTAATGCATAATTTTAACCAGATGTAGTTATGCATCTGATTTTTTTCGGATGTAACTACATCCGCCAAAAAAAAAATTATTGTAATGCATTATTTTAAACATAATAAACTTTTTTTTTTAATTATTTGATTGACTGCCTGCCCAAACCTAACCCTCAGTTGATGTAGCAGCACTCCGTTGCGAGTCAGGCTGTTTGTCAGTCGATGTAGCAGCACTCATTTTCCTAAATCATACAACTTAAAATTTTTCAATTTTTCTGCCAACCGTTTCCTTGCTCTTTAACGGTATTCTTTATTTTTAATAACTTCCACCTTAATAGTGGCTGCTTACAGCCATGTTCGGAGCGAAACTGAATTAAAAAATAACAAACAAAAAAGTCAAAAAACTAATAAAGTTATTTGTATAGTAATCACTCAAATTGTTAACTTGACTTTAATTGTTCTGATTCCAAATAAATATATTATATATAGAACGAAGGATAAAGCAAACAATTTTATTTGGGGTAATAAATATTTCTGGCTAAATAAGAAAAAAAAAAAACAATAAAAAAAAAATTGGGGCGTTGGGACCTAACAGTTAAACTTAGAGCAGTACAAAAACATTAGGTTTAAAAAGTTTATAACAAAAACTAAGGCCCATAGAAAGTAGCGATGATTCACATACAAAATTAAACAAGTTTAGTTTTGAAATAAATATCAATCTAAGACACTTCCAACTTTATTATAGACAATTATTGTTAAACTTTTATAAAATGAAAATAGAGTACAAGGTATCGTCAGGGTTAGTAAAAGAAACTAGTGTTGTCATCAACTAAATCAACTAAAACGCGACTTTTCGAAAATCAAAATTAGTCGTTATTGGAAAATCTAATAGTCAATTTAATCAACTATGGACTTCCTACTAATTGACTAAAAGTCGATTTAATCAACTATGGACTTCCTACTAATTGACTAAAAGTCGATTTAATCAACTATGGACTTCCTACTAATTGACTAAAAGTCAATTTAATCAACTATGGACTTCCTACTAATTGACTAAAAGTCAATTTAATCAACTATGGACTTCCTACTAATTGACTAATAGTCAATTTAATCAACTATGGACTTCTTACTAATTGACTAATAGTCAATTTAATCAACTATGGACTTTCTACTAATTGACTAAAAGTCGATTTAATCAACTATGGACTTCCTACTAATTGACTAATAGTCGATTTAATCAACTATGGACTTTCTACTAATTGACTAAAAGTCAATTTAATCAACTATGGACTTTCTACTAATTGACTAATAGTCAATTTAATCAACTATGGACTTCTTACTAATTGACTAATAGTCAATTTAATCAACTATGGACTTCCTACTAATTGACTAAAAGTCGATTTAATCAACTATGGACTTCCTACTAATTGACTAAAAGTCGATTTAATCAACTATGGACTTCCTACTAATTGACTAAAAGTCGATTTAATCAACTATGGACTTCCTACTAATTGACTAAAAGTCGATTTAATCAACTATGGACTTCCTACTAATTGACTAAAAGTCGATTTAATCAACTATGGACTTCCTACTAATTGACTAAAAGTCGATTTAATCAACTATGGACTTCCTACTAATTGACTAAAAGTCGATTTAGTCGAGTAAAAATCTTAAAATCCTTAATAATTTTCGATTTGACTTTTCAATCGATTTAACTTTCAATCTTTAATTTTTGCTTGTTCATTTCATAACAATAACATATACTATTATAATATTACTGTATTATATTATGTTATATTATATACTTTATTATATTAGCTAGTTTTTTTTTTAAATCTCTTAAGGTTTTATCTAACTCATCACATTATATTCATTAGCATTATTTATACCAAATTAAACGCTTATGTATTTCATTAATTTGTTTTTCATTTGTTTACTTGATACTTGTGATTTTCATTTCATACAAGGCCGTTAATAAATAGATGTTATTAATAGATGGCCCCAAAATAGCTAGCCAATGATAGGCTATTTTGGGGCCGACTAAGTTATATAATGAATTAAATTTCCAGATCCAATTTTTCCAACTGCAGTGTCCAAACTTGCCAACTAATTAATTTCCTAGGGAGGGTTAGACACCCCCTACGCCCCTTCCTTAGGACGGCCTTGATAGCTAATGCCACAAATGGCCCATTAGTTAACAGATGAGCAAAACTGCAGAGGACTGTTAAAAAAAGCCTACATTCCACTGCAAATCCACTACCAAAAAGGCTTGCTGGATATTTTTTGCAATGCATGTTTGTTGGCATAAAAAACTTCTATTTAAATTTTATATACTTTAACATTTTCTAAAATATTTTTAGTAACCATTTGTTTTAAAAGAGCATAATACCAATCAATTCAAATATATTTTATTGCGTATATTTTAAATAATTAAACAAAGTTAGAAGAAACAAGATGAAGTCTTAGTGTTAATAAGGAACAAGATGATGAACAAGTCTTAGTGTTAATAAGAGTTGTTTTTTTTTTTATTGCGGAATAAATATTAAAAATCCTAAAGACTTTACAGAGACATTAATGGACAACAAATATAAATAATAAACCAATAAAATCATTACAAAATGACTCATTAACCAATAAATATAATCAAAATTTAATAAACTGTCATTTTTAATTAAATAGATAGGTTAATGTTATAATTAAATGTTTGTTTATTAAGTGAGGGATTTTCCCATTTAATGTTAAAAGGTGAGTTTCCACTCATCCGTTTTTTCACGGGAACGGGATAGGAAAGGAAAAAATAATCACGTGAGCATGCGTAGTTTTCCTTCGGACATATTAAAACTTATACTACGCATCCCCACGTGATTATTTCCCCCCCCCCTTTCCCGTTGCCGTAAAAAAACGGATGAGTGGAAACTCGCCTTAACATTTAACTTATGTTTAGTTGAAGCAGTATCTAAAATATGAAATAAATTATTATTAGACTATTATTATACTATTACTAGTAAATAAACTATAATTAGACTATTATTAGTCTTTCATCCACTAATGTCTTAAAATATTTAACCACAAAATTAAAACATCAACCAGATTCACATTTAAAAATTTAAATTATCTCTAATTAAGCAAAATATATATTTCTTACATCACTCCTACTTGTAAAAAAATAAATTTTAAACTAAACTTCCAGACATGGAGTTTGCTTCATGTTTGGAAATTATCTCAAAAACCAAAAAATGCTGGATCAACCCCTCGTTTGTGTATTACGCAAGTTTGACTATGAAAAAGAAAGTCAAAGTGTATGAAAAATGTCTGAAAACATTGATTGATTAATCGAAAAATAAAACTATGAACAAAATATGCAGGTAATAATTTGTTCAACCATCAAACTTTTATAGGAGAGATCTTTAGATTGGTTTATCAAAACTTCACATTTATTAAATAAAGCAAGTTTTCTGAATCATTGTTAATTATAATATTATACAATCCACCTTAGAGAATAATTTTATTTTTGTAACTATATTTATCACAGCAAAATCTTATATATTAAATAACATAACAAGTTTAATGGTGCTTAATTAATAAAATTTGTGCTTAAGGTTCATTGACTTTTTTTTTTGTTGAAGATTTGCAATGAGAAAACATTCCAAATTATTAGTATAAGATATCAAGTTATTTTTGCACATTTTAGTTATCTAAAAGACCAGTTATGACAGAACACACATGATAGTACAACATTACTAGTTCATCATAGCTGTAGAAAGTTCGTTGATAGTCGTAAAGATCAATCATTACCTGTACAAAGAATGAAACTACGATCGTTATTCGAGTTAGGGAAAGATGGATAAAATGAAGAAGAATTAAGAGATGGGTATTAAAAGTATAGCGTAAATATTGTGAACAGTTCGATGACTGGTTTGCTGTAAGAAATCTACTTAATACAGATGATAGAAATCTACATTTATTATCTTTTGGTGTTGTCAGTCAATAGCAAAGATTTTATCATCTGTGAAGAAGCTGAGATAAGTTGCTCGTCTAAAGATTTTTTAAATGGTCTTTAATTTAATGAAACAATGGTTAAAAAAAAATAATATATTTTTATCATTGGTTGTTTTGGCCAACAGCGTATTCCTGCAAAAAGCTGTTCAACACTTCTTTTTAATAAGCTTGCACCAAATTTTTTATTTGTAGTTATTTAGGTGCTCCCAGAAGTCCTTACGGTCTTATCATAGAGCACCACGGGAGAGCATTTAACAGAAAGTTTAATATTCCGTACCTCCTTCTTCGCTTGTTGGAATTGAACCTCGGACATTTGGGTTCTCTAACCACTGCGCCACGGCTGCTCAAATTTTATAAAAAAAGGATGACGTTGAACTGTATTTTGACTTTAAGAATACCCAACTCTTATTTTTCAAAAATAATTTAATGCCGAAAGCAAACACATTATTTTAATAAAAAGTGATTCTTCCCGACTTATTAAAATTAAATTAGGTACAAATTTCGGTTTGTGTAAATATGTTTTTTCTAAAAACAGCTCGTTTTTACCCTTATCCAATGACAGCCTTCATTCTATGTGTCAAATTTCATTTCTATACTAATTTTTTCTATGTTCGATGTTTTGATTTAATTCTTTCCAACTACTTGGTTAATGTGGTATTTTAATAAATATAAACATTATTCAAAATATCCTATTGGTTTGTTGAGTTTTATTTATGAAATATTCGTGGAAGAAAAAAAAACACAGTAAAGTATATAGCTTTACTTGATATTTATAAAATATTCCTGGAAGAAATAAAACACAGTAAAGTACAGAGTAATCTAAAGTACACAAGTAGCTGTTGTAAAGTACACAAGTAGCTGTTGTAAAGTACACAAGAAGCTGTTGTAAAGTACACAATTAGCTGTTGTAAAGTACACAAGTAGTTTTTTTTTTAAACTATTAAGAAAACAAATACTAGTAACAAATATAAAAAAGAATTTTTACAGTATTAAAAAAAAAAGTTTTTTTAAAAAATTATATAAAATTACTTTCTACAAAGCCTTATAAAACCAAAATAACAAAATCTCATAAAAACATATTTAAACTTCTTTGTTGAAAACTACCTGCTGGATTTGTTGTTTTAGTGTTCTGTTTAAGTTTATTATATCGAACTGAAATTTTTTCTAGCCAAATATATATAACATAAAATAGTCCAAACAACAAAACAATTAGAATTAGAGAAATAATGAAAAGGATTACTCGAGTGTTTACTTTTGTTAAATGTATTGAATTGTCTAATCCTGGCGAAAGCGTAAAAAATTGTCTTTTAGGTCCAACTGTTGGCAGTTCACCTAAAAAAAAAAGTTTTTATTTTTAAAATTTGTATTATTTCGTAAATATTTGCATTACTAAGTTAATACTAGTTGAGGAAAAAAACTTGCTTTAACTAATTGAAATTTTACCTGGAATTGGCATTTCTGGACCACAATTAGAAGTAGGAGTGGGAAATTGTCCAGACGGATTAGAGTCAGAGTCTGACGTGGCAGGTTTCATTTGTATTTGCTTAAACAAGTCAAATTCGACAGTTGTTTGAAAACGCATTGTTGCGCTTGGAAGAGGATGAATTACTAATTTAGCTCCACTCATGCACCCAACGAACGAAGTAGATAATAAAAAAGGATCCGCCTTTATTCCGTTGTTAATAATTTTTCCAACTCTAAAACTAGTTGCTACTCCAAAGGTATCAATTGCGGTACCTAAATTTTTGTTATTTTCATCAATGTAGCGCTCAATAATATTTTCACTAACTTTTAAATCATAATTTGGCACACTCAGGTACACTTCATTTGTGGAAAACTTGACTCTTGCTACGTTGTGTTGATTATTGCTTAATTTGCGTTCTAAAATAGTCAGAGTTCGAGTTTCTGTATCTGCAATAAGTCCATTTGAAAGGGTAATTTTATTTTTGAAGGAATAAAATAATGTCAAATATCCACTAGATAATGCAAGAGAAATGTGACGTCCATTACGTCCGCTTAATTGAGCTAGTACTACGTTTTCTTCGGTAGTTTTAAAACCTATAACAAACGTGGCAGTTGCTACGGAATCGTTAACACTATTATTGGCTTTCAGTAGGTCATATGATATAAATTGATCCCCTGAGAATTTCATTGGATATGTTTCTACATTAAGAAATGTTATTAACTTCATTACTTTATTTTTATATGTTAGGAATATAAGGAAGCTACGTATAAAGTTATTTTTAAATAAATTAAAGAGATAATTTATAAAAAAAATTGTATATATATATATATTTTTAAAATACCGTTTTGGCAATATTTTCCGTCGTACGGCGATATTGAACAATTACATTGAAAAGCATTATAATAATCTATGCATTCTCCATAATTGCATGGTTTGTTTAATAAAATGCATGCAGAACCACACCCTGGGTATACACCGTAATCTTCTTGTCCTTCAGCAATGTGGTGAATATTAGAAATCCGTCCATTGATATACTGTATAATGAAAGAGTTTGTTTAACACACAAAAATCAAATAAATAAGTATATATATATATATATATATATATATATATATATATATATATATATATATATATATATATATATATATATATATATATATATATATATATATATATATATATATATATATATATATCATCCTGATGCCATTTTTACTTTTAGGTTTCTAAATTTGTCCTACAGCAAAAATTTTACTTTTATTTTCTGTTTTTTTTTTTTTTTTGCAGCAATAATCAGTTATGGTAGGTCAATGAAAGTTTTCTTGAGCTAGAAGACATAAAATAGAAAAAGGGAGCTGATATAATAAAATTAATACTCAATGTGTTGAAAGAGATTGATCTTGAAGTAAAAATGTTCTGGTAAATGCTATGACAATGATGCAAGTATGGCAGGTGTCTCAGTAGAGCTCAAGTTTTGATCTTTTTCTTGCCCTTCTCGGATCATAAAAATTTTTATTTTTGAAATATTTAAAAGCTATACCATTTTTTCAGCTTCATCCCATTAAAAAAACTCATTAAAAAAACCTTTGGGAGGTGACAAGGCTATCTTTACAGAACCTTTGTTTTACGCAATGGAGCTCAAGAATTGATGCAGTTGAGTGCTTAAAAAACAATTAAAAGAGATCATGAAAGCATTAAATTGTCTAAAAGAGTTAAACCTTCCGAATAAAAGAGTCAGATCCTCCAGATAAAAAAGTTAGATCTTCCGGATAAAACTAATAATCAAGTGCATCAACTGTTTGGGTGGATGAATTTCTTTAAGTTAATTATTTATGTATGCTATTTTTACTACTTTTTTTTATTGTTGTTGGTAGATAACAATGTATATTATGAAGAAGTTATTTAAAATTTTGTCTCTAAGAAAGTCTGGAAAATGACATTGCTACAGTAATGTCAATTTGATTTTAGATTTTCTATGATTATAAATAAAAAATAAATATACTAACTTGTACGCTATTTATTATTTTAGGACAAATTAACTTTTTGATCACAAAACTAACTTTTGGCATCACAAAAGTCTGTACAAGTACTTGTTTTTTTAAATAAAAAATTATTTCTGTCTATTTCAGCAATAATACTCCTACTCTAACAGATGTAACTTTCAAAGAGAAACAGGTGTAAAGAGAAACACACATTGGGCAATTGCAGTTCAACTTGAGATGCTTGTGTCATTTTAGCTGTTAAAAAAAGCTAAGAACTGCAAAATAAGATCGAATGTGATGATTCCACATTGTACTTATTTGCTACAAAAAGTATTGACAAAATTAGATTTAATAATAAGATGATGTTAATAGCTTTGTGAATTGGCAGCTCAACTCCTAGAAGTACATTGTCATGTACCAAAATTAAAGCAATTGTACTGTAAAATCAGATTAGTGCTAGACATAAAAAAAAAGCTTTAAAGAGAAAAAACTATACATTTCTAGATAAAGTCTCAAATAACACACAGCTCAAACTTAAAAGAAATCTTACCAGTTTATTAAAGACTCCATAATTTTTTAGTCAAAATCTCTTATGACAAAATTTCTACAGTTCATTCCTGGAACCTACAAGATTTACAGTTATTCAGCAGCTCAAATTTGTGATGACAAAAAAAAGAAAAAAAAGAAAAGAAAAGGAGTACATCAGGCAATTCGGAATTTGCTTTTAATGCACAAACCATGAAGAACTTGCATAAATCATGAAGAACTATCCAGTGAAAACACCACTCTCTAGGCCTTTATTTAGCAGCTGATTTTTAACTATGGTGAAAGAGCAATATGCTTTTCCATGGCGGAAAAGTATACTTTGCCTAAGACAAAATTTTACTAGTTTAAATTATCAATATAGGGGAACACGGGGTAGGATGAGGAACATTTGGGAAAATAACTGTATCTTAGTCAATAACTGTCCCAAGAATTAAAACTTGATTTAGAAGCGTCACTGATGTATCAAAAAACCACTCTAAAAGTTAAAAATAGAAAAATTCATTAACTGATGTTAACTCAAATCATCATCTACCCCGCATACGGGGCAAGATGACAATTTGAGTTAACAAAGTTTTAAATTTTAAAAAAAGAAAATTCTATGAAGCTATAAACGCCTCAAAAACAATCATCACAAATTCTTTTTTATAAAAAAAATAATACAAATAATCAGTTTATAGCAAACTTCAACCCAACAAAGTAAAACTATTGTCAAACAAAATACTGTATTTTGTAATAAAATAATGACTAAACAATACAAGAATAGCAAACAGTACAAGTAAACTTTCATTTAACACAGATAAAGGACAAGTCATCTTGCCCCAGCCTAATAAAATCTGTAAAATGAATCAAAACTATCCATAATCAAGTTATCATACCCTAATACTTCTTGTATGGCTGCTAGACTATTCAAACTAAATGGAAATTTCACGCTAACTTCTAGCTGGTGATGTAGCGATGAAATAAAGTCAAACGAGGACAAAAAGTTTTTTCTCAATGTTGGAAAAACCTTTTTAATACTTAACTTTTGTCACAAAGATAATACTTAAAAAGAAAGTATTAACAAATCTAATAAATATAATTTACTTCCCTTTCAGCTACAGTCAGCTGATATATTTAGTTTTGCTTAAGAGATAGATTGTTATCTTGCCCCATTCGTCATCTTACCCCATGTTCCCCTAGTATTTAAAAATTATACGCCAAACATTTTCAAGAAAAAACCTGTTATTTAGAACTTCTGACAAATCTGTACTTTTACAAAATTTTTAAATTTTAAATACTAATCAAGATGTTTATATTCTTCTAATTGCATATTTTCAATCTTTTTTACTAGCTTTTCTGATTTACTAGCTTTTGATAAAAAAAAACAACCAACTAAAAAACCTTTTTTTTTTTTTGAGGTTTTTATCTTGAAAATAAAAATTTGGTTCTTGCTGCTTTGTATTTTGGGCATAAAAAGTGTGACCTTTAATGTGTGGTTTTTCTTTTTTTAATTATTTAATTAGTTTCTTACTCGCTCATTGACTTAAATATATTTAAAAAAAAGTTAGATCAACAAATAATACAAAAATTAATAATATTTAATATTGCAAATCACAAACTTATCAATCATTACTTCAAACCTTTTTTTTGGTTTTACTTTTCTTTCATTTTTGTTTAATTTCTTTTTTCATATTTTTGCTTCAAACATCTATTTAATAAACATAAAAACAGAGATTGTTCCTTATGACAATAATTTGATTTATTTTTTTCATAACCTTCCATTATGTACAAATAGGTAAGCCTATTATGAAAATAATCATAACCCAGCTAGCAAACTTAAATTGGGCCACTTTATGTAAATAAATCATGATGGTTGGCTGTTTCTCCGATGCAAATACAACATTGATCCAATGTTAGTTATATCATATTTACATTAATGAAAATCGTGATTAACGATGTGATTAAAAGTAGTTAGCAAAAATAAATTCATCCAACCTATGTAATAACATCACAAAAGTTGATTGTTTTCTGATTAAACCCAACGTAGATCCATTGCATAGGGATCAATGTTGATCCAATGTGTATGGATCAACGTTGACCAAATGTATATGGATAAACGTTGATCGAATGTGCAGGGATCAAAGTTGACCAAATGTTTATAACCCCACATTAATCCAATTTTTATGATTTAACATTGATCCAATGTTTATAAACCAATTTTAATCTAATGGGTATGGATTAACGCTGGATTATATCAGAAACATTAATTTAAAGTATAATTATCATGTCCGTAGAAACACTGCGGACATTTTCTGTCAAATTTTTGTATTAAAAGCGTTTCTTTGCCAAATAGAGAATGGGAACTTGAAACTAAACGTATGAGCTAAACTAATACACTGGCTCATAGCAATAACTTAATGTTCAGTTATGTGTTCCTGTTCCCTCCAAATATAATTTCTTTTTTACAACAAAAATATTGTTATTTATGATTAAACAATCACTGCTGGCTCTTAGTTTATGATATATAATTTATTATTTGCAGGTTTCTCTGTAGCTTTCTTAACTTGGTGTTTGTGTTAAAGTCCTGTAACTTTTTATTTTATTTTACTTAATAAAATCTTTCTTCACTAAAAATAATTAATCTTAATCAACTTCTTCTAAAACCTTTTTCTTATTCTCGATTTCTTTCTGCACAATGGCACAAAAACAAAAAATACAAAAACCAAAAAATACAAAAAAATTAAAAATTATATATATATAAAGTCAATAAATTATTGTAAACATAAGCATATATATTATTAAATATATTTAGTAAAATAAATGTTAAACTTATGTGGAAAATTTTTTTTAATATTATAAACACATATTATAAAAATATAAAAGCGGAAATGTATATACAAAGAGAAAACAATAAAAAGTAATTGTATAGAACAAATGCTTATTTATTATGCAGAAATAGTATATATTATTTGTAAATCTTTTTTATTTTGTAATTAAAATATATATATATATATATATATATATATATATATATATATATATATATATATAATGTGTGTGTATATATATATATAATGTGTGTGTGTATATATATATATATATATATATATATATATATATATATATATATATATATATATATATATATATATATATATATATATATATATATATATATATATATATATATATAACTGAATATGTAAACATTTTTTTTTTTTTGTTCCCAAGAAGACCTAATTGTCTTGTCACAGAGTACCGCAGAAATGCATTTAACCAGAAAGTTCACACCTCCTTCCTTACCGTGACACGATAATATGTCAAGAGCTCGTTTTGAACCTGGATTTCCTGTTTATGAAGCAAACGCTGTAACCATTGCGCCATGGCTACACAAGCATGCAACTATTCCAATAAATATAACTTTGTGTAAACGTAAAGTATTATGTTGAATCATTGTTTAATATAAAAATACAACGTTTCAACAACCTAAAATACAAGGTTGAATCAATGTAATATTATTTTTTGGTTGTTGGCGATGTTCAAACTTTATAAGGTCATAATTATTGAATGCTAAAAGATTATACTATGAAACTATAAAATGAATTTGTAAAATAGTATAAATCTAGAGTAATAAAAAAAATATTTTATCATTTTATTGCTTTTCACTTTGGGCCAGGGTAGGGGGAAAAAATATTGAAATTGTTTTGTTGCCAGGCTCCATTTGCACTGCAAATTTTTGCAAACTATCCTTATTTGACTCAAGAATAAACATGTAAATGTTTGGAGTTTGCCCCATGGCTGAACATTAAAAATGTCTGAAAGACCAAAAAAATGCTGCATCCGCCTCTGCAAACAATATTGCGCAATAATAAGGATTGATTAGTAATATGAATGATCCTAAATGATCTGATTATACTTAAAAAAAAATCATAAAAATGATAGAAGTTAGACTAAATACAAATTTGGAGAAAAAACTGTTTAAAGCATTTAAAGAGTTTTTTTTTATGCAGATTTAAACACTAGTTTTTCTTTATGCAGATTTTAACCTCTTGTTGTTTTACTGCTGTGTCAGAGCATAAAATAACAAAAAAAAAAAAAAAAAAACTATTAGACGCAGTTCCTTGGTTAAAACCAATGAAAAGACTAGATCATTTAAAAGTGTGAACTCAACTACATTCTTTTTAATGGCAATTTCTTACTTGACTTGTTGGTATTTTCAATAGAATTTGTTAAATTATGAATAAAATTATCAATATTACTTTAAAAATAATTTTACTTAATTAACTTATTAAAACTATCTGGTTAAATATTCAAAAAATAAATATAAAAAATAGTTTTACCAGACTACGTATACAACCAACGAACCCATACTCATCGTAATAACTGCCACCTATATACATTGGTCTTCCATCTACATTAAGTTGAACCGGATCATCTTGTAGAGGTAATCCGTGTATCATAAGAATGCCATCAAGTGTTACATTAACTTCTTTCATATTGAACATTAAATCAAATTCGTGCCATTCATTATCATCAATGTACCTACCAATTTTTTCAATGTCAACATCTTGTTTAATTTCTCCAAAACCAAAGTTTAAAAGCACTCGTATCAGGGTTCTAGACCATATCATTATTTTGAGGTAATCTCCAGAAAATGGTCCATAGGCATTTACCAAAGTTAGATAATTATAGGCAACCGAAGTTTTGAATTCAAAAGATACACCACCTGCATATATATTGTCAAATGGCTGATCAGGAAAGTAGACTGATAAAAAAGAATATGGCTTTCTAAAAGTAGCTGCTACTTCTCTTGCACCTGATCCAGTACATCTTAAATGATCAACTCGTAGTTGAGCCGTGACAGAGCCCTTTAAGACTTGATCAAATTGAACTTGACGAACTGGAAGATGCTCTTTTATTGTTAAATTACCATCATCAACAAGACTTTGGTACGCACTTAAATCATCACAATTACAATATTTACCTACGTTAAAACATGTTTGGTCAAGACCACATGCACAATAACCACGATTATTTTTTGCTCCTCCCCAATAGTAATGAAGAATGTCATCACCTCCCATCCAACGAACCTATATAAACAAAAAGATTTTTTTATTTTTGCTGCATTTGTTTAGTTTTATAGCAATGCATATAACTTTAAAGTTTAAGTTCAAAAAAATATGAAGCCTTTGAAAGAGCAGTGAAAAATAAGTCAAGGTATAATTTTTTTACTTACAGAAGGTGGACCTTCGGGAGATCTAAATATTGGAGTTCCTAAACACGTGTATTTAATATACTGTTCACAATAAGCACTATTTAAGATTAGCTCTCTCATCTGGACTATGTTTGCTGCATAATCAATGTCAAAGTTATTTTTTCCTGAAGCAGTAGTGACATCTTTATCGTTGTAATTTGTATTGTTTATTTGAGTTATACTACTTTCAATAGTTCTACCAAGAATACACAGAGCCAGAACAGGCTGCATTGGTCCCATGCCATCAAAATCAATATAATAAACATCGCTTCTTTTTTCTCCTGATTTTTTTACACCAGCACATGTGTAGTTAAAACGAGCTATTATTTTAATTTAAAAGACAAATTACAAATAAAAAAATAAACATAAAAATTATTTTCATTGTATCAAAACTTGGTAATCAATATAATGAAAAAAACACACAAAAAAAACAAAAGATTACCATGAATGGTTGTTTGAGTAAGGATTTACATAATTTAATTGTTAAATCTAAATTAATTACTTGTTTGGCACTGTTTTAGTTTGTAAACCCTATTACTTTATAATTTCGATAATTTTATATTTTTCAATCATTTTATAATTTCGATAGAGAACTTTATGCTTATTAAGAATCGTTTAAAGAAATAGACCTGAAAATTTGAGGAAAATTCTTTAATTCGGTGTTTAAAAAATTTCAACTTCAATACTGAATTAAAGAGTCATAAAATTTAATTAGGTGCTGAAATTTAAAAAGTTGCAAAGTTAACTAATAAAAAAAAGTTTATTTTCACGTTATTTAAAAAATAGCTTGCTAAATTGAATGAATAAAGGCCGTTTTCCACACAATGGAAAATTCCAACGAAGGGAATTTTTTTGTCGATAAGCATGCGGAGATTAAACATTTTTGGCGATTATGCTGATTTTTTTTGCTTCAGCGTTTCGCTGCAACGAAAAAAAAGTTGGATTCATTTCGACTTTTTGCGAATCACCATATGGGAAAACCAATCAAGTTTTGAATATTATATCACGTGATGTCATCAGTAAAAAAAAGCGAAAACATGTTGTTTTTAAATTAACAAAAAACAAAATTCTTAACCTTATTAATTTTATATGAAATTAGCAAGCATGAGCAAGTTCATCAAGCAAGGACCAAGACTTATATAAAAAAAGGCCAGACTTATATATAAAACTAAATCGAGAATTTACAATATAAATTTTCACACGTCAATTACGAAAGTTACACTTCATAAGAATGATTATCTTCAAGTAGTCACACAATAATAAACCTTTTTGTAAAAAACCCTACATAGAGTTAAACTTGCTGTTCATTCTTGCAGTAACTGTTTTTTAATAGAAATGTTCATATCAGAGTTTAGCATTTACTTACTTATGCTTTCCATGACCTACTATAATTACACGGCCTGATTTGTTGCATTTTCCGTAAAAAATTAAGAGGCCTGTTTTTTTACAGCTTATTTTCAGACAATTATATCTTTAATATATATTTATATTTAATAATTAACAATTATATATTTAATAATTAAAATAATGTGATTATTACAATTATTATATCAAAGTTTGGTTTATGCTTTCATATTCATGTAATATATATTTCTGATTATATTCTGACTGATTGTCTGCTTCATTATAATTCAACAGAGAGTGGAATAATAAAGTAGACATACAGACAGTCTACTTGATATATTGTATACAGTCGTATAACTGCTTTTTTATGCAATGTTATTCAAGTGGAGATAATTTTAATAATAAATGTAAGAAATCTCAATATTATTGTAGCTTTTAAAATTTTTTTTAATTACAAAAATAGTTAATAAATGTGTTGTCATAAACTGTAAAACTGGTTACTCTACTAGTCTAAAAAAGTCTACATTTCATTTTCCTGAAGAAAGCAGTTTGCGAGAACGATGGATATATTTTGTCAATAGAAAAGATTGGTTTCAATCTAAATTCTCTGCTATTTGCATTGATCATTTCGAGAATAAATTTAGCAAATATGGGAAAAGATGCACAATGAAATGGGATCTCCAACCTATTCCAACTATTCACACAGAAAAAAAATTAGTTCATCAACTTTAAGGGTGCCAAAGTTGCCTAGAAAAGATACAACTTTAAGGTACTTGGTAAAAGATGAGTTCAGTGATTTTCAAAATATTATTAAAATAATTAGTCTTAATTCATTAAAAGAACAGCATTGCCCACCAGGATTTACATTTAAGAAACTTCACAGTAGTGTTGTTTTCTATAAACTCTGATGAAATATCAGGTATACCAACTGTGTTTGAGTCAATAACAGTTAATAAAGATCTTAATGTTACATTGTCCTATAAAGGATATCATATTTCTTTACCTGAATGGTTTCGCAGTGGTCATAATTGCAAAATTAACAAACTGTAGTATGATAGAAAATTTTCCTGCCCATATTCGAAATAAAGCTAATGTTTTTAATTAAATTTTGACATACCTAAATGAAATAAGATACTATTCTCCACAAGGCAGACCTCCATATTCTGCTTCCGTTATACGTTATGCATTAATTCTACATCACACTTCAGCAGTCATATAAGTTGTAGTTAGAACAATTGCCTTTACCATCTTTTAGTTTATTAAGAAAAATTCTAAGTGGTGATATAAATGTATTTAAGGCTATAAAAGTTTTGTTACAAAAAAATTGTGTATCAAGTGACTGCGTGCTTCTTGTGGATGAGATGTATTCGCAAAAAGCAGCCCAATATAAAAGTGGTAAATATGTTGGTAAAGATACAGAAAGTAATCTTTATAAAGGTATTGTTGTTTTTATGATTGTTGGGCTTCAAAAATCTTTTCCTTATGTTGTGAGATCATCACCTAAAGTGTATATAACAGGTTCATGGTTAAAAAAAGAAATTGATGAGTGCATTACCTCATTGCACCAATCTGGATTTAAAGTAAGAGCTGTTGTTGCAGATAATCATTCTACCAATGTTAATGCATTTTCAGAGTTTCATAAAGCATATACTGGAGATGGAAAGTTATTTATATGTCATCCAGTTTCCAATGGAGTATTAAAAACATACTTATTATTCGATATAATCCATTTAATAAAAAATGTTAGAAATAACTTGTTAAATGCAAAAATATATGTTTTTCCTTTTTTTTATTTGATTTGTTTAAAGACAAAGTTGAAGTTCCAGCTGGTTACATAGCATGGAGTTTATTTCATAAAATCTATGAAAAAGATCAGTTATTAAACGGGAACTTAAAAAAAGCAAGGAAAATTAATTATCAGGTCACTCATCCTGGAAATAACAAACAAGATGTCAACCTTGCATTGGCAATATTTGATGAAACAACTATAGCTGCAATATTGAGTTATTTTCCTGAAAGAAATGATGCAGCACAATTTTTATCCTTGTTTCATAAGTTGTTTATCACACTTAATTCAAAGCAGATATTTAATACATCCAATTAATTTGGCAATGCTGCTGTGAAGGGTGATAACAAGCCCACATTTTATAGAGAAATTGCAAATTGGATTAATATTTGGTCAAAATGTGATTATTTTACATTTTCTAAACAAACTTCTCTCACTCTTATTACAAAATTACGGGCAACTGCATCTCTTATCGATGGTTTGCTTGAAAAAGACTATACATATGTTCTTACTTCCAGGTTACAAAGTGATCCTTTGGAGCTACGTTTTAGTAAGTATAGACAAATGAATGGTGGCAGATTTCTAGTGAGTCTTTTAGAAGTATGCAATAGTGAAAAAATTTTGGCAGTAAGAAGTTTTCTAAAGGAAGATATTAATTTCTGGGAAGAATTTCTGATGTTAATACCTGAAAATATTATCCAGAGACGGACTTATATGTCCAAGTCAACCTCTGTCTGATTTTATTTGTCATCTTTTTAGTATTCTAGATGTCATATCTCCTATTTTAACCAAACATTGCAGTTATTCTTTTTCAATTAAAAGTTTTGCAGAACAAATTTTTAAAAATTATTACAGCAGTTTTGATTTTACTTGTGACAATCACCAAGAGTTGGGTATAAAATATGGATCTCGTATCGTTATAAATATCTTTTATAATAATTTGCAAAATAAAACAACTGATTCAGTAAGAAAAGATCAGGTGAAACAATTTTAAAAAAGACAGAGAATCAATAATAATTCCTAATAAAAAGCTATTTCTTTATTACTGTTTGTTTCAATTATAATAAAAACAGTATAACAAACCTTTGACTTTATTTCCACTAAAAATTTGTAGATGGTCTTTGCAACATGCAATGTTATTTTAAGTACCATGTTTATATAAAGCTATCTAAAAGCCTATTTCAGTATTCTCTTTTACTGGAATAAACTGAAACAGGTAATCAGTTAGCGAAAAATCCAGTATAAAATAATCATTATGTTATACTTTACATTATGATAATGTAACTACACTAAAAAAAATCCGAGTCATTTGCTCCAATTTTAATGAAATATGAATAAAACATTCACAATGCGAACATAAGAATTCAAGTTTTCAAACGTTAGCCGTAAAAAAACTGGCCTCTTAATTTTTTTACGGAAAATGCAACAAATCAGGCTGTGTAATTATAGTAGGCCATGTGCTTTCATGTAAAAAAACCTTATGTTAAATGATTATATTACAAAATAATATCACATCTTACTTATAAAGATAAAAATGCTTATATTAATGCACGGGAAGAAATTTTAACATGCTTTAAAGTAGAAAGTGTGCTAAAAAAGTAATAACTGCTTTTAGTTAAACATACGTAAACTTATTGCTGCCATTTTTATTGTTGACAAACAAAAAAAAGTAGCGCGAAAGAGAGTGGAAATCGAAACAGTGTTTCGTCAGCGAAAAAGTTCGCTTCGCGCGAAATTTTCGTCATGTGGAAAACGGCCTTAAATCGTATAGGTTACAACCCAGCAAACATTCTATCGTAGAATTTCAGTGGACCTATTTAGGAATTTGGAGGGGACAATATTACTCATCGGTTATTTAATGACCATTAATAGCAACTATCAAAAATGGCTAGTCGATGACTAACCTCTATTAACATGTAGGAAAGTTATCGGCTTGCCATTTATAGTGGGTGCCACTAATAGTCCACAAACAGCAACCAATGAGCAAAACTCTAATAAACCGCTTAAAAATGCATTTATAGTTCCACCGCAAATCCACTAAAACAATGCAGTATAGTTTACCCAGTGCGATCGACAAAGGGCGAACACAAAATTAGATCAATAATTTATTGGTGCACGTGTATTTTTTATGAGGGATAACTTAAAACGTAGAAATTAAGATGTTTTACTAGAGAAACTTCAAAAATAAAT